ATACAACAAAAAAAATATCATTTGGCTGACCCAACTGCCAATTATTGTATTGAATGGTGCAAATATCATGTAAGGTGGCAATTTCTTTATCAATCATTGGGGCAGTTTATGTATATATCAATCAGTCGTTTGTAGCATAGAATATATCCAGGAACAGACAACCGTACAAAAACAGGAGCAGTACCAGGATGGAAAAATCTCTGCATCTAGTTTGGACCTCTAATCTCCTCATGGCAAAATCATTAGCAAATTGAATGTGTTAGGCTGTTAATTGTTAAACCCAGGATTCTGAGCATGACCAGAAATATATCACCACAAGCAGTGTAGAAGAGGCATTATGTGCAGTATCAGCCACATATGAGAGAAGAATTACACACAAGTAGTAGTCTAGCTAAGAAAGTTTACAATGCAGTAGCTCATCCTGTTCATCGTACAACAGGAATAAGCCACTCTCTTGTAACAAAAACTAAAAAGGATGCAGAGTTGAGTTCCTGCCTAATTCATCAATTCTAACATAAAAAGCTGGTAAGAACATCAACCACATAGTCTATAGATATCCAACAACAAAAATCAGCCTTGAGTGTTAGGAAAAAGAGGGACCTATATGATGGAAAATCAAACAGTCATGTTCTTTGTCTGCCATTTGATTCACTTGGTCCATTGAATTTCTAATGACAAAATACAATAGATGCAAACTTTTTTGCTCAATCATTCCATTCTATATGGTAAAGGTTTGGAACAAAAAGTCTAAACCCGAAGAAAAAGTAAGCAAATATTCATTCAACCAGATTTTGTGAGGCTGGTTGATAGAATGAGCTAACACACCCTGCTGTAATCAGAAATCATGATATGGAAAGCAATCAGCAATCACACTTTCTTTCAAAGAGAAGAACTTTTATTTAAATGATCGTTTTGGTACATAGATATTTCCATAAAAAAAAAAAAATAGACCCAATAACAAAAGATGTTAAAATTAAAAGCACTTAGTTCATGATTTTGAAAAAGAAGAGAGACAACCAGATTTAAGCAGCAAGGATGCAACTTTCTTAGAAATCACCCCCACGGAGGCGGAGGACAAGATGAAGGGTAGATTCTTTCTGGATGTTGTAGTCCGCAAGGGTGCGTCCATCCTCCAGCTGCTTCCCTGCAAAGATGAGCCTTTGCTGATCTGGTGGAATACCTTCCTTGTCCTGAATTTTTGCCTTCACATTGTCAATTGTATCAGAACTCTCCACTTCCAGTGTAATTGTTTTCCCAGTCAGAGTCTTTACAAATATTTGCATCCCTCCACGAAGCCTCAGCACAAGGTGAAGAGTTGACTCCTTTTGAATGTTGTAATCGGCGAGGGTCCGGCCGTCCTCCAGCTGCTTGCCGGCGAAGATCAAACGCTGCTGATCCGGAGGAATTCCTTCCTTGTCCTGAATTTTTGCCTTAACATTGTCAATTGTATCAGAACTCTCCACTTCGAGAGTAATCGTTTTCCCAGTCAGAGTCTTGACAAATATTTGCATCCCTCCACGAAGCCTCAGCACAAGGTGAAGGGTCGACTCCTTCTGAATGTTGTAATCTGCCAGGGTCCTGCCATCCTCTAGCTGCTTTCCGGCAAAAATCAACCTCTGCTGGTCCGGAGGAATCCCTTCCTTGTCCTGGATCTTTGCTTTCACGTTATCGATGGTATCCGAGCTCTCAACCTCCAAAGTGATTGTTTTTCCTGTTAAGGTCTTGACAAAGATCTGCATCCCTCCACGGAGCCTGAGGACGAGATGAAGGGTGGACTCCTTTTGGATGTTGTAATCGGCGAGGGTCCGACCATCCTCCAGCTGCTTGCCAGCGAAGATCAAACGCTGCTGATCCGGAGGAATTCCTTCCTTGTCCTGAATCTTGGCCTTTACGTTGTCGATGGTATCAGAGCTCTCGACCTCAAGGGTGATGGTCTTACCGGTAAGGGTTTTGACGAAGATCTGCATCCCTCCACGGAGCCTGAGCACAAGATGAAGGGTGGATTCTTTCTGGATATTGTAATCGGCGAGGGTCCGACCATCTTCCAACTGCTTCCCAGCGAAGATCAAACGCTGCTGATCCGGAGGGATCCCTTCCTTATCCTGAATCTTGGCCTTGACGTTGTCGATAGTATCAGAACTCTCGACCTCAAGGGTGATGGTCTTGCCGGTGAGGGTTTTCACGAAGATCTGCATCTTCAAATCTTTCGCAAGAAATTGATCGAATTGAGAGAATTTGGAAGATCTCGAAGAGAAGAAATACTTTGAATCGATTGAATGAGGAAGAAGGAAGGGGAAGGGGTTTGTTATATAGAAGGAACAAGGAGAGGAGAGGCGGTGACCGATTCAACGAAGGAATTCGGTTCCTGGCGGACTCCGGAAACAACGAGAAATCCGTCGATCAATGCAACTGTACTTTTATGCGCGTACTAAACACGCTTCCACTGAACGTCTAGAAATGTCATAAACGCGAATGCAGGCGCGTCCGTTCTCTTTTTTTGGTCATCGCTGGCGTACGCAACTTGTTATTCGTTTTATTTTTTTATTTTTAGTTATTTACCCTTTTAATTCAATTTCGTTGCAATTAACAGTTCTGTTCTGTGTATACAACGAGAAAGCCCAAGGCCAACAACT